ATGAAAATGCAAAACATAAACAGTCATAAATCGGAGGAACCTCATCCTCTGATAATATCGTAACCTCGAAATGAAATCCGTAGTGTTATGGTCCCCGTCATCATAAAAGCAGTACACAAACCTGACGAGAAGTCCCCCTATATAACCAGGCGAGGAGTTTTTCGGTTACCGTTAAAGTCCACCTGGTTGACTGAGGGAGAGTACTCCTTATCTAATCTTAGTTGAGCGAAAGCAATCTTTCGTCATGAATCATTGCTGACGTGGATTGCCTTCACAGTGACATTCCTCGGCTCGCTGCATGACAACAGGCGACTTTCCAGTCACAATATTCAAGCTACCTTTCATCAATGTGAATGGTACGGCGGTTCAGCAAAAGGTAAGGATATTTTGCAAAATGAAGGACTCCAGTACGAAATTCATGTATATAGCTTCTTAAATGTTTTCCACATTTTTTTTTACTGTTGGTTGAATCAAATGATTAAATATGGTTTGTTTTTCAAAGGAGAGAGGAAAAGCGGTCGGCAAGTTTTTTTAAGTTTTCCAAGTTTTCCAAGTTTTCCAAACATATGTTTGGAGAAATGCTTCCAACATTCAGAGACAACTAGAAGTTTGTAGAGTCTGTTTTTCCAGCTTACACAATTCCTAGAATGATGCTCCAATTTCAAAAAGGGACAGTCCCTTATTCTCTCTAAAAAAATAATGCATATGCCATGTACTACTGCTTTAAATGTATATAGGGTATTATTTGCAGCATAAGAGACGATGAAATTTCGTGCACGCATTGAAGGCTTCGTTATTCGAATACTCAACATTACTTTAGGATGCTCATGCTGGAAAGATGAATGAGATGTGGCGTAGTGACCAGTGATTTTTTTAAAACTCACCTCGTAGAGTTCTGGGATTCTCAATGAATACAAAGTCTTGTGAAAAAATGATTCTTCAAGGTCATTTCTCGCTTTCAAGCCCCCACCTCCCTTCATCATAGTGACAAATTAACATTAGGCCTAGGCAAAAGCCACGGATTGTCGTCAAGTCATGCCCAGACCTACTTTTCTACTTTCAAAAGAATCTCAAGTTATAGGGTCATTTAGACCTATGAGGCTCAATCTTTGGGCCTTCGAGACATCTCTTTGAGCACAGGCACGGGAGACCTATCTGCCGTTTCTCGAACCATCTCGACCAGCTCTGAGAAGTGAATGCCTCCAGGATTGATATGCAGGTTTGGGCGCCTCTCAGTTAATTTAGGGATGCCCACGCATGATATCTCCATATCCCACCAAATCGATGGGTCCTTGTTAACTATTGCTTCATTCTCAGCTTTTCTCATGAACGCAGCACAAAAAAATGTATAATACCTTGATAAACAGAATATCCCAGCATCGATAGGAAGGCCGAAGGAATCTTAAATCCGACATAATTCCAGCAAGATATCTGGTGGCACTGTGGGACGGGAGAGGAGCACGGGCCAAAGAGTGGCTGCGGGAGGGGGGGGGGGGGAAGAGAAAAAGAAAAACCTGTGTGAAATCGACACCTTGAAAATGCGAGAACCAGTTTTCTCCACAGCCCCCAGGAATTGAAGCTTCAAATGTTTTTGAGCTGTTTTTGTATTGAGAGTGGAATAAACTTTCCCAAATTCATTTCTCTAGATCCTTTGATAGAGGAATACGAAGAAGGTTAATTTTGTAACGGGAAGGAGTTGAAGAAAACGAATAGACTCTTGAGCGCCCTTTGATATTTAAAAATAAGGATTTACATTTAAAAAGTCGTACCCCCGAAAATAACAAAACCCCTTGCATCCCACTAATGCAAAAATTTTATTTGCAAGATGTAAACCTAATGAAGTGTGAATTCATTTGTATGTCAGACCCAACCACTGTCATAGGATTCTTTCTGCATTGATTAATCAATGATATGTTCATATAGTTTTCCTGAAGTTCTATTAAATTCATTTTGGGCTCAATACTTTCAGCAATCCTCTTCTGTGATAACCACTTTCGAGCGTAATATTGGCAGTTCTTACAATATGCAATATGCTTTCAAGTTGATATTGCCTGATGCTTCCCGGTTGCCACTCAATATATGGTCGACACCAGATATCATTTATGACCATTTAAGAGTTGAGCCATGATATCTCATACAAACTTCTGCATAGGTTAAAAATCTCAAGATAGTTCAGCTCAATCTGTTAGTTTCCCATTTGTTCCATCCAACTGGTATACCGTATATGCGTGGGTGTAACTTCAATAATGTGCTGTTTTACGTTTGGCGATATGGACGCCTTGAAGCTGAAGCGTGCGGCTGTGATTGAGCTGTTCCGGAATGGCCAAAGCCCAGGGAACATCTTTCGTCAACTCCAGTCTAGTGGTTACAAACGAGATTTGGTTCATAGTACTCTCAGGCGTTATCATGAGATTGGAGGTGTCAGTGAAAGGAAGCATTCTGGGCGACCACGTTCTGTTCGCACGCCAAAGCTTGTCAAAAATGTGAAGGCACGGATCAGGTGGAATCCTCGGCGTTCAGGACGATAATTGGCGATAGAGTTGGATACCTCGCACTCAACCATGTGGCGAGTGCTGTAGGAGAATCTTGGGTTGAAACCTTTGAAGATGCGAAAGACTCAAATGCTCAACCAACGGACAAAGCTTGCCAGAAAGGAAATATGTTGGGCTCTGCTCCAGCGGTTCACGCCTGACAAATTGGATCGACTCCTGCTTTCCAGTTGAGAAGCTGTTACACATGGAAACTAAGTGGAACACCCAAAACAACAGGATCCATGGAAACAGTGTCATGGAGTTGCCTGATGGTGTCGATAAGATGCAGAGGACGCAACATCCGTGTCGGTGATGGTTAGCGCTGGAGTGTCCGCCGCCATGGGCAAGACTTTCCTGGTTTTTGTGGATCAAGGGGTCAAAATTCAAATGGAGAACTATCTAGCAGATATTCTTAAGCCTTATATAAAATGCACCCTCTGACACATGATCTGTTCGAAAATGGGGAATGGTGGTTCTAGCAAAATTCAGCACCAGCCAACAAGGCCCGCGCCACTCAAATTTGGTGCCAGGACAATTTACCGGGCTTCATATCCTCCACTGAATGGCCTTCCTCCTCACCCGATCTGAATCCAATGGACTACTATTTTTGGTCCAAGTTTGGAGCAGATGGCCTGCAGTAGAAATCATCCAAATGTGGAGTCCCTAAAGCGCTCCCTTGTGAAGGCTTGGAGCAATCAACCGATGGAAGAGGTGCGTGCTGCAACCCATAGCTGCCGAGGAAGATTGTCAGCCTGTGTGAAGGCCAAAGGGGGTTGCTTTGAAGTTTAATAATTCCTATGTGTAGTTTATGTTGCAATGATGATATTTTCTAAATCTGATGCCTCTGTTTCTCAAAATCGATAATCACGAACAAACAGTCTTTGTATGAGATGTTATGGCTCACCCTGTATTGTAAACAATACCTTTGTTGTTGGTGATATGTATACATCTCCATGTAAAAATTCCCTCAAACAAAAATTTATATTTCATTATTGAAACTTATTCCAGTAGAAAACCTACATCTATTGTGGTTGTGCTTCTTTCAGGACATGAGTGACTTACCAAGTGAGCTAGCGATAATTAAGGAGAATGCTAGAGCCCTCAGAGGTATTATCAGCATCCAGGCAACGATCGAGCAGATAAACTTACTTGAACGTTTCATAGAAGTCGCCTTGCAGCATCTCTACCAAAACCCGAACTACCTTGGATGGCTTGCAAATACTTCATTCAATCCAAATATCCTACAAACATGGCTAGAGAATAAAGAAAAAGAAGCCAGGAATTTGGAACTACTCTTGAAGAACTTTATAGATGCAGGGGTGGAAATTCGCCAAGCATCAAATGCATTCCAAGATGCTGGGAAAAGTTATGAAACGAAAAAGATGTCTCCGTATCTAAGACGTCTGGGAGAGAAACTATCAAACTTATCTACGGACTCACCTTCGGGTCTTTATTAGGGTGACCGAAGAGACAGAAGACTGATACCACGACCTTGTCAGGGGTTGTTCGAATATCAACATACCTTCATTCATTACAAAAGGTTTCAAGAGAACCCAGCTATGAAATTCGTGTCGGCAGAAGTGGTTGGACTTAAAGATCCATATTCGATTATGCTGAGCGAAGAAGGAATGGCTCCGCAAGAGTTCATCCCTCCAGGAAAGCCCTCAGATCTCCTTGTTCAAGTTTTGCCTGATGTAAAAGCCATTGAGTTGAATTGGAGTTGGCCATCCATAGGACGGCAATACGTCAGATTTCCTCATCTGGTTCAGAACTGGCAACGACCCTTCGGAGAATTGGAAATTGATACAGGTTATTTCACCGCCAGCGAGGATTCTCGATCTTGTCCCCGGGGAAAAATATTTGTTTAAGGTCGGTTTCTCTCATTGCCAATTCAGGACCACGAAATGTTTATTAATCCTGACAATCGATCCTTTCATATAGGTGAGTACCGGATGTCGTGTTGGATCTGGACCATGCAGTCAGACTCTAAGTTGGGAATTCCCCCTCCCTCAAGTGCATAACTTGTCTTTGTATTCTCAATTTCCGCAATCGACAATACCTACATCTCATCATATGTCTGGTGCGCATTCAAACGGGTATGGTCATGAATATCCATACGCTAATCACGAAGATAACCGAAAACTTCAGGCAAGCCAAAGCCCGCCTCCAAAAGCACTACGAAGACCTGCAGAGATTTTGAAGCAGAATGGAACTCCCATTGGCAACGGAAAACCTTCTTTATATCAGATACGTTTAGAGGATACAAGAAGAGATTCAAAGAGTCTAACAGCCAAGTGCAGACTATTTTTTGACTCTGTGCATGAGGACAAGGAGGAAAAAGTCATAATTCTACTTGGAGCCACAGGAGCAGGTAAGATAGCCTTATTTACGGTGACCTTATCTATCGTGTTTTGATAAAGTGGCACTCAAATCCCATTTTGTTGAATAATCTGTTCAGGAAAAAGTACCATGGTGAATGCTTTCGTCAATCACTTTTACGGCGTGGAGTGGGAGGACCCCTTCCGGCTGGTTTTGATTCCTGACACTGAAAGCATTAAGCCCAAGGCTCAGAGTCAGACGTCGCGGATAACAGCCTACACCCTACCCTGGCAAGAGGGATGTCAGGCATCCTACAATCTTACCATCGTTGACACTCCTGGATTTGGAGACACGAAGGGACTAATGGGGGACAAAAGCATCACGACCCAACTTCAGAAATTCTTCTCCCAAGGGCAAAAGGGAGGAATGGATCACCTCGATGGAATTGGATTCGTGCTTCAGGCATCCAATGCCCGGTTGACGCCAACTGAAAAATATATTCTTGACTCGATTCAATCTGCTTTCGGGAAGAATGTTGGCAATAACATTTTCCTGATGATCACATTTGCCGACAGTAAGAGCCCCCCTGTTCTCGAAGCTGTGAAGGAAGGAAACATCCCTTTCGTGGGGTACTTTCGGTTCAATAATTCGGCTCTATTCACACCAAAGAACAACGGAAAAGATGAAGATTCACGATTCGACGCCATGTTCTGGACACTTGGGGCAAGAAGTTTCTCCACATTTTTCGCCAAGTTCCAGGAGACTCAGGCTGTAAGTCTCCAAATGAGCAAAGATGTTCTGAAAGAGAGACAAGCTCTTGAAGCTACTATCCAAGGGATCCAGAACCGAATTCAGGAGGGTCAGTATACCATACATGTATTCTCTTATTTAACAGGTTGACTGCCATGGGACGCACTAGTGCGCCTCACGAAGTCCCTTTTCATGCAACGTGGGGCGCACCGGTGTGCCCCGTGCTTCACCTTCTCCAAAGGATGCAACAATTTATTTTGGACCAGGAAAGTCACCAGGCTCATATGGCCGTGGCGGTCAACGTGTTAAGTATCATTAGGCTCTTCTTTTTTAAGTTTACCATCAACATTCAAATATACATTTTCTTCCACAATTTTCCTCAATCCATCCCTCGTGAGACTTGACAAGTTTTTATATTTTGAATTATTTCTAAAATGTTCACCATCTTGAAGGGCGACCATATATAGTCATCGACATGTAAAATATTTTTTGAATTGAAACCGCATTTAAGTTTTCTTGATTGCCCTTTAGCGTGATTGAAGATTTCCTACTTCGCGTTACTGCATGATTGTCGACTGGTGATACGGCAAGGGCATGATCATCCGACATCAAGAACCTTGAACAATGAATTCCTGAATATTTAACCTAGAGGTCTGAACGATGTGTTAACTAGACCACTCCCGCGTTCTGCGTGATCTGCTTCGCGTACTTTGACTACGTTCCATCATGTTCACGATAACAAGAAAACTGCGAAGGGAAATTTTGAAATTGTAGTTGATAGAGAAGAGCCGCTATGGTCCCAACTAAGATGGCTTTTAATTGCAGAAATGGATTCTATTGAGCGTCACTTTTAGTTCTTTCTCTTAGCACGGTAGCGGGAACCATAGAATTTAGAGTGCTCATCGATAAGAGGACTGGGTTCCGATAGCTAAAAGGGTCGAAATCCCATTAAATGTGTGGGAGGAGATCTCATCCCGGCGAGGACTCTACCTCCAGGGATGAAAGGGGACTCCGAGTGTCATAAGCGGGGAAGTTTTGCTCGTCCTGCGGATAAGTCCGTTCGTACCCCGAAGCGGGAAACAGGGAGTTGGCGCAGTATGCCTGTTGTAATGTTAGGGATGGCATGGAGAAGTGCGATAGAGCAATATTGGATTCGGTGGTGTTGTGGTAGCACACTTGACCGGCAATCAGGAGGCCCTGCCTTTGACTCCCGTCTCCTCCCTGCTTTTCTTTCGTCTGCTTTTATCATCCGAACTCTCCCCCCCACCCCTTCCCCCAGGGCTATTACGTTTCCCAGATAGGATCCGACCAAAGAGTGTATATAGATGTCTCTGGAGAGAGCTTCGCCGCTTCGAGACTTACAAGTGCTTCAGCCATTTTGGTGAAGTCTCGCACGTGGGAATGAATAGCGCGATTGGTTGGGTCCCGCTGTGGAAGGTCCCAGGCATATAGCTCGGAGAAAGTTGCCTCTTTGGCCCTCCCCCTCTCCATTTGTCTGCTAAGAATTCCTTGCTTCTGCGACTTCAGTAAGATGGCGGCCGCGCCTGGAAGGGTGCAGCGCCTCGCGCCATAAGGGGAGGCCGCTCCATTCATACACTCTTTATTGATCCGACAGTCACATTGGCCGGGAAAAAAAATGCAAGCCGAAGAGAGGGAGACGTGCACCCAGAATAAGGCAGAAGACTCAAGGGGAAGAGCATTGAGCGCACGAATTTGTTATGTCTGCGCGTGCATACCATGGACCACAGTGGATTAACCGGGCCCATTACCTTTCTTTAACCCTTTAGGGCGACAAAATTAAACCCTTTCGTATTTCTCTCTGAGAGCATCAACAGGAACAAAATTTGGCATACTTCCTCCTCTTTCAACATTGAATTGCTCCTGCAAATTTGCTGAATCTCCCCGGGTTTCGGAGATCACTGAACATCGCTTTTGTGAGATGTGAATTTCGTTCCGGTATTTTTTTTCTCTCGTCCCTGGGTAGTGGCTCCTGTGGAGTTTTTTGAGGTAAGAGACCAACCAAACGAAAGATACAAGAAGTAACAAAAAGAACGCTTTTTGTCACCACTAGGTGACCAAATGTTTTTTTTTTGTCTCTTCCAGTGCACCATTTCGCCATGAAAATGAAATTAGATGCCGTTAATTTAGGCTTTGCGAGATGGCTCCAGTTCCATCCTCCAGTGTTGCCATATATCGTGTCTTAGTTATCTCAGATTCATGACTTCTTCAGCCTTAGTATCGTTGTCTGGATCTCCTCTTTTTTTTAATCCAGGAGACATTATTGCGCTGAATTCAAGGGATGAGCTCAGATTGAAGCGGTAGTTTACTGTGGCCGATTGTGGTTGAATACGGAGATGTCTCAACTGACATCCCAAAATTAACATGATGGCGACCAGCTCGAATATCATGCTTTCTAATGGCAACTTTCTTCTCAAAACGAGATGAGACGATTCGAAGAACTCTGGATAGGCCTAATGTTCCCCAACCGCACTAAAACAGCTCATGGATCTCGAAAAAGACCTATATTCGGTCTAACGTTACACATTCTCTGCTGAAGGGGAGACTGAATAGGCCTGCGATGTTCTTACGTTACAACGTTACACGTCTTCAACAAGGCGTCTCGAGAACCAATAATTAATCCTTATAGATCTAATTGGTCCATAGGCCAAGGATTGCGTTTCTTTTGAATGAAAAAAGATAGGCCTAGGCCTGACCCGAAGATTGTCCGTTGGTTCGGCCAAGGCCTAACGTTAGTGAGTTCCGCAGAGAAGGTCGGGGGGGGGGGATAAGCTTGAGTTTGAAGAAAGGTAAGACCGTTGAAGTTGGTTTTCACATTCCTACATACTGTATATGGATTTTTGGGATTAATCGGTCAGTTGGGTTAGAAAATATTATAGTCCTTTGCCAAAGACTTTTAGCTAACCTAAATTAAGCTAAATTAGTTTGACTTCTCACTTTTTTGGCCAAGCATATAGAGAATCCGGTTCGTTAGATCTGCGTTTATTCTGTCTTTCCTGAGGTTAGTTAGTTTGGATTTATAGTGCAAACTTAAAAGGACTGGTGAAACAATCTGAATTTCTACCTACCAGGTGATTCAGTCATTATTTGAGGGAATACAGAGCATAAGGCTTTCTGTTCTAACGAATACAGGGGCTGCAGCCCTCCGGAGTTCAACATAGCTCATTTTTGAGGAAGTACAGGATGGGCCACAGAAAAGTAGCCCGACCGTTGGTTTAGAGTCTGTATGGGAAGAAACATAGGTTCATTCCTTTTCCTGCCCATCGCTTCTCCTACAAACTTGAAAGTGGTTTGACTGGTTTCTGTAGGAGAGGGGGGAGGACCGTCTGCCTATACGCTGTAACTTCAGTCTCAACTCCCAGTAATCGTTTGGAAATAAATAGCGATATGCCCTCATTCTGCGATGCAGTATTCCCAAATTCTTGTTGGGAACCACTGCGTCTTGGAACGAGCTAACAGATGCGTTTATGTTGCAGGAGAAAAGTAATTTGTAATAGTAATTTGTAATTTGTAATAGTATTTTGTAACAGTAATTTGTAAACTCATGAATCACAAACCACCTTTACCATAGTCATACGTAAGCTCCTGGCCTACCCCGCATTTTCTTTGTCATGCAAAATTTGAAGTACTGAAATGTCCTTGAGGTGAAGTACTGATATCACATGCACCATTCGACAGCAGGACCGCTTCGAAGTTCTTTCCTTCGGTTATTTTTTACTAAGCTCTAAGAGAAATTCAATTATCATATGTACGGGTGCCATTGAGATCCAAGAGACTAGTCAGTCTCAGGTTCAATCCAAGAGAGAGCATTAAATAAGTACAAATGGAAAATATACATCTCCTTCATAGGCGATTCGGTAAACTGCGTGTTATACCTTGGATAAAGTTGCTCGTTATCTATACGGAATCATTTATTCATATATTTTCAGCTTTGAATATACTGGGTGAAATCAGAAACGAAACGGTCATATTGGTGCAGAGACAAGCAGATGTCGATGCCAACAAACAATTCACTTATCAAGCCCAAGTGACACGGCAAAGGAAAATTGCATTGAAGGAAGGACAATATGTAACAAATTGCCTGAAATGCAATTTTACATGCCACTACCCTTGTACGGTCCCGAACGACAAGCGGAGAGCGGACTGTGACGTAGTCAACCATGAAACAGGCGATTGCACAGTGTGTCCCTTGAAGTGTCATTGGACACAGCATTTTAATAATCAGATACGATTCGAGACATACGTCGTGGCGGAAACGAAGACATTGGAAGACCTTAAAAAGAATTATGGAGAAGCCTTTCGTGGAAAGTTAACCGCAGAAAATTTGATAAAAGCCTCTGAACGGAAGTACGCCGAAAAATTATCCGAGGTCATGTATCTTGTCAATGAGGCTCATCAGAAACTTGGCATATTGGATCGAATCGCCCTGAAACGCAATCCAATGACGATCGTAGACTACATGGACCTCTTGATTTCATCAGAGAACTCCCAATTGAAGCCTGGCTGGGCTGATAGAATCCAAGTTCTGCGAGAAATACGAGATAGCATGGAAGAGAATGGCATCATGCACGATGCGGGGCGAAGTCGCCATCAGAATTTACGAGAGAAAGTTGCGAATCCCTACAGTTCCACTTCTGGCGAGCGCAATCTCAATAGAAGCGATTGCACCGACGACGACTCCTCTGATGATCAGCGAAATGCCGTTTCAAAATACGTGAGTGATAAGAAGAGTTGCATTAGTGGAGGTATTGAATTGTGCAATTCTTTGAAATTTAATTATCTATATATACAGTGTGTTCCATAAGTCAGTTTACCGACGTGTTTTCAACTATGCTAAATTCTTATTAATTTCTTTATGAATTTAAATGCCAGTAACAGTTTTTTAAGCGTACGTCTTCCTTCACCTAGAATGAAAATAACAACTTTTAAAAATAATGTCAAACAAAAACAAAATTACACGAAATGAATTACAATAACTATTGTGAAAATAGCTGGGAATCCCTCGGTAAACTAATTTATGGAACACCCGCCTTCTGTCTGTCTCCATGTGTCAGTCTCTCTCTCTCGAGCTCGCACTTTCTTTCCGGCAGTTGCGGCTGTCGGAATCAATCTTCATAAAAGGAGAGGGAGGA